ACTGTCTCTGGTGATAGTGACACTCCCTCACTGTCACTAGTGATAATGACACTCCCTCACTGTCACAGTGATAATGACAACTCCTTCACTGTCACTAGTGATAATGACACTCCCTCACTGTCACTAGTGATAATGACACTCCCTCACTGTCACTAGTGATAATGACACTCCCTCACTGTCACTAGTGATAGTGACACTCCCTCACTGTCACTAGTGATATGACACTCCCACACAGTCACTAGTGAAAAATGACACTCCCTCACTGACACTATGATAGTGACACTCCCTCACTGTCACTAGTGATAGTGACACTATCTCTCTCACTTTCTTGAATGGGACAGTGCCAGGACCCTGACCAGTCGTTCACCTCCCCTGAGGTCACCTTCACGACAGTGCCCCATGGCAGCCACTTACAAGACTGACACTTCCCCCAGGTGAGCTCTCTGTCTGTCTGTCTATCTCTCTCTCTCTCTCTCATCCTCTCTCTCTCTCTCTCTCTCTCTCTCTCTCTCTCAATCTCTCTCTTCTCTCTCTCCTCACTCTCTCCTCACCTCACTCTCTCTCTCTCTCTCTCTCCTCTTCTCTCTCTCTCTCTCTCTCTCTCTCTCTCTGTTCCACAATGTTAATAGTATCTAAGACTTTGGAGCAGTCCTGGAGAAATAAAAAATAATAATAATAATAATAATATAAAAATAATAATAATAAATAAATAATGATAATGAAATGATAAATAATAATAATAAGAATAATAATAATAATAATAATATTAATAATAATAATAATGGGGATAATAATAAAAAATGATAATAATAATAATAATAATAATAATAATAATAATATAAGTAATAATAATAATAATAATAATGATAATAATAATAATCATAATAATTATAATAATAATAAAAATAATCAGATAAAATATAATAAATAATAATAATAATAATAATAATAATAATAATAATCAACATCCCACCAACCATCACCACTACACCAACCTCCACCACTACTACCCCTACCACCACTTCACCACTACACCACTACACCAACCACATCACCACTACACCACACCACCACTACACTACTCACCACTACCACCACTACACACTACACCACACACTACACCAACCACCACCACTACTACCACTACCACCATACTACCTACCACATACACCACTACTACCACACCACCACTACCACCACTACCACCACTACACATACTACCACTACCACACACTACCTACCACACTACCACCACTACACCACTACACCACTACACCAAACCCCCACCACTACTACCACTACCACCACTACCACCACTACCACCACTATCACCACTACACCAACCACCACCACTACTACCACTACCACCACTACTACCACTACCACCACTACCACCACTACTACCACTACCACCACTACCACCACTATCACCACTACAACCAACCGCCACCACTACCACCACTACTACCACTACCACCACTACTACCACTACCACCACTACCACCACTACTACCACTACCACCACTACTCCCACCACCAGCACTACCACCACTACCACCACTACCACCACTACACCACTACACCACAACCAACCACCACCACTACTACCACTACCACCACTATCACCACTACACCAACCACCACCACTACTACCACTACCACCACTACTACCCCCTACCACCACTACCACCACTACCACCACTACTACCACTACCACCACTACTCCCACCACCAGCACTACCACACTACCAGCACTACCACCACTATCACCACTACACCAACCACCACCACTACTACCACTACCACCACTATCACCACTACAACCAACCACCACCCACTACTACCACTACCACCACTATTACCACTACCACCACTACCACCACTACTACCACTACCACCACTACCCAACCACCACCACTACTACCACTACCATCACTACCCCCAACCACCACCACTACTACCACTACCACCACTACTACCACTACCACCACTACCACAACCACTGCCACTACTACCACCACCACTACTACCACTACCACAACCACCACCACTACTACCACTACCACCACTACAAACCACTACCACCACTACCACAACCACCACATCAACCACCACTACTACCACAATCACCACCACTACTACCACTACCACAACCTCTACCACGGCTACCACCACCACTACTACCACCACTACCACCACCCACAGGTTGGTCCTGGATCAAGGTTATCTGGATATGTCTGAGGAACTCAGAGCCCTGGCAGACGACGCCCACAACCACCGCCCACACGCCCGTGCCGCCCGCCGCCCACCCTCAGCCGCCCACTCTCCACCGCCCACTCACTGCCGACCACCCTCCACCCACTCCAGGACGCCCAGCCCTGCCAAACATCCTTCTACTGACGAGGAGGATTATAGCTAGTAATTGAGGTAGTTAGGAATTGTGGTAGTTAAGAATTGTGGTAGTTAGGAATTGTGGTAGTTAGGAATTGTGGTAGTTAGGAATTGTTGTAGTTGGGAATTGTGGTAGTTAGAAATTGTGATAGTTAGGAATTGTTGTAGTTGGGAATTGTGGTAGTTAGAAATTGTGGTAGTTAGGAATTGTTGTAGTTGGGAATTGTGGTAGTTAGGGATTGTGGTAGTTTGAAATTATAGAAGTTAGGAATTGTGGTTGTTAGTATTTTTGGTAGCTAGGAATTGTAGTAGCCAGGAATTGTGACAGGAGTTATGGTAGTGCACCTAACAGTAAATAGGTACCTGCGCGTTAGTCACCTTACACCTGCTGTCACTCTCACTAGCAAAAAGTGGGTACCTGGGCGTTAGTCACCTTCCCACCTGCTGTCACTGCTCACCTAGCAGTAATAGGTACCTGGGCGTTAGTCACCTTACACCTGCTGTCACTGCTCACCTAGCAGTAAGTAGGTACCTGGGCGTTAGTCACCTTACACCTGCTGTCACTGCTCACCTAGCAGTAAGTAGGTACCTGGGCGTTAGTCACCTTACACCTGCTGTCACTGCTCACCTAGCAGTAGTAGGTCCCCTGGGGGCGTTAGTCACCTTACACCTGCTGTCACTGCTCACCTAGCAGTAAGTAGGTACCTGGGCGTTAGTCACCTTACACCTGCTGTCACTGCTCACCTAGCAGTAAGTAGGTACCTGGGCGTTAGTCACCTTACACCTGCTGTCACTGCTCACCTAGCAGTAAGTACGTACCTGTGGTTTAGTTTCCTTACGCCTGTTGTCACTGTTCATCTGGCAGTAAGTAGGTACCTGGGTGTTAGGTGACTGTTATGGGTGGCACCCTGGGGGTGGTAGTGTTCCTTGGTTCCGGGCTATGATATCAGGTAAGGCAGGATAGCAGCTCCTAGCTTAAGGAAGGATAACTCTTGTAAACTCAATGGTGAAACAATTAAACCAAGCAAAATGATAAATAAATAAAAATTCATCCATAGTCTGTGTTTACGTTATTCCCAGTAAAGATATTTTACTTAAATAATGAATAAAACACGTTTGGCACATCTGGATATCTTTATTATAGTGTAATGATAACCAGGTGTTAAGTCTCTCCTTATTAAACATGGCTAAATTGACGATTGATTCTTTATTTTCCGCTCTGAGGTTTTTCAAGGCTTGGGGGAAGCCTGGCTGGGCCAGGAGCTGAGACTCAACCCCCCTACAGTCACTTATAGGTGAGTATTGGTGAGTACAAGCAGTCTGTGTGGCCCTGCAGGTGTTTGCATCCTGGGTTCACCTGATCTGAGGTGTCATACTTAAGTTGGAATTACTATCCTTTGGGAACACCCGAAAATTTTAAAACTTCACACCTCGTTTAGGGGCCCTTAACAACAACAAATTTTGGCTCTTTCATTTGGGCCCAAAACCAACAATTTTGTGGTTTTCTTAAATTTTAACATTTATGCCACCAATCAAAATTTTTTGGTTAAATTTAAAATATGGCCTTAAATTTTAAATTTTTCCTTACATTTCAAGAATCCCATCCCTTTAAAGTTTTAGAGCCCTTAAACATCTTTAAAGTTTTGTGGCAAAGTACTTTAAAAGTTTATGGTTCATAAAAGTTTTAGATAATGCCTTGTTTTAGTCCCTTAAAATTTTGTTTTTATATCTAATTTTTAACAAGTTTAGTGGCCCTTAAACATCAATAAGTTTTAATAACCCTTAAAATCATTCAAAAGTTTTAGTGGCCCTTAAAAATCTTTAACAATTTTAGTGGCCCTTAACATCTTTAACAAGTTTTAGTGGCCCTTAACATCTTTAATAAGTTTTAGTGGCCCTTAACATCTTTAACAAGTTTTACTGACTCATAATCTCTTTAACAAGTTTTAGTGGCCCTTAACATCTTTAACAAGTTTTAGTGGCTCGTTAACTCTTTAACAAGTTTTAAATGCCCTTAACATCTTAACAAGTTTTAGTGCCCCTTAAACATCTTAACAAGTTTTAGTGGCCCTAACTCTCTTTAACAAGTTTTAGTGGCCCTTAACATCTTTAACAAGTTTTAGTGGCCCTTAACATCTTTAACAGGTTTTAGTGGCTCGTAATCTCTTTAACAAGTTTTAGTGGCCCTTAACATCTTTAACAAGTTTTGGTGGCCCTTAACATCTTTAACAAGTTTTAGTGGCCTTTAACATTTTTAACAAGTTTTAGTGGCCTTTAACATCCTTAACAAGTTTTAGTGTCTCATAACATCTTTAACAAGTTTTAGTGGCCCTTAACATCTTTAACAAGTTTTAGTGGCTCGTAACATCCTCAACAAGTTTTAGTAGCCCTTAACATCCTAGACAAATTTTCATGACCCACAACACTTTTAAGTACCCTTCAACAACCTAAACACTTTTTTAATACTTCTTGACGCCACTAACACATTTTTAGTGACCCTTAACACCCTAAACACGTTTTAGCAGCCCTTAACAAGCGTTAATAACCCTCAACAACCCTAAATAAGCCTCAAAAACCCTTAAAACAAGAGGACGGCTCACTGAGTCACACCTTTATAAACCACAACAACAACAATGGGAGCCTCTGAGAGCTTCTCCAGACACTGGTTCTTATATACTATGTGTATTTTCATATTATTTGCATATATTGCGCCCGGTGTTGGTTCCAAGGGAGGTGAGTCGTGGACTTCACATTACAGCAGGAGCTGTTTTCTCATTCCTCGGATCAAACCTGAATTTTTCTCGCGTTTTGGTGCTGTATATTGCCAGCCATCCATCTGTCTATTTATCCATCCATGTGCCTATCCATCCATCTATCTATCCATCTATCTGGCTATGTCTCTGTTCATTCATATATTCATCTGTTCGTGCATCTCATCCATCTATCTATCTATCCCTCAGTCTATTCATCCATCTATCCATCTGTTCATCCATCTTTTTTCCATCCATCTATCTTTCCACCCATCCATCTATCTATCCGTCAGTCTATCCATCCATCTATCCATCTGCTCATCCATCTTTTTTCCATCCATCTATCTTTCCACCCATCCATCTATCTATCCATTCATCCATCAGTCCATCCATCTATCTATTCATTGATCCACCCATCTATCCATCCACCCATCCCTCCATCTATCAGTATCTCACAGTCGTTCTATCATCAACTTCGACAAACTGGTCGTTGTTACATTGTCATCGTCTCGCTACTTTCCAGTGCACAAAAATAATAGATTTTAGGAATTCCGCCATATTATTTTTTGTTTTAAATATTTAAGTCCAGCTACAATTCAATGTTCATCGAGTCATTGTCAGTCTTGAGAGTGACAGTCCAAATGAGTTATTCGTGAATATGATACGAAATGCTGCCAAAATCTCCCTAATCTTTGATTTAACTCTAACCCCCAATTTATTTCAGAGAAGCCGTTGTCCTAAAACTATAGAGTTATTTTACAAATATCGGAAAAAAATAATTTCGGAAGTTGTACAGGTCTGGTATTTATTGTTTGCAGGTTTAATATACCCGGAGATTACCGTGAAATGTGGGGCCGTTTCGATGATTTTCTTCCTCAGCGGAGTGTCGCTGAAGACCGGTGACATCCACACTGCCATGTCGCATACTTGGTTGCACGTCTTCGTGCAAGTAACGTCGTTTTTTATATACCCTCTACTTGTGAAGATCGTGTGCCTTGTATTGCAGAATCTTGCTGATGTAAATAAGTCTCTCATAGAAGGGTAAGTATTTTTTGTTTTTCACTGTATCGGCTGTCTTGTGCTAAGGTACGATAATCCCCAAATATACACACTTTTAGCATCATTTATTACAAAGATCCCAATGGAAATACAAGGACCCCAATGGAAATATGAGGACAATCAACAGACATAAGAGACCCCCACTGAAAATACAAGAACCTCAATGGAAATACGAGGACCCCAATGGAAACACGAGAACCCCAGTGGATACAAGGACTCCAATGGAAATAAGTCACTCTGTCTGATTTTTTGGGTTATCCTGGGTAATTTACACATATGTTACTATGTATGATAATTGTACATACATGTACCTGTATCTAGATAAACTTAATAGCTGTCTTGTGAGAAGTGAACAGATATCACAGTTCAATAACTCCCTGAACAGTAACATTCTCACCTCTCCAGAGTGCATTCACTGTACTTCCCACTTCTCTAATTCAAGTCTGACTAACTTACTTCCCTGAATCCCTTCATAAATGTTACCTTGCTCACATTCCTACAGCTCATCGAATCTTTAAACCTACTTGTCTCCACTTATTCCAATTCATTACACTCACATCTGCAGAATGCTCAAGCCTCTGTCAGTTTAAAACCACACCCTCTTGCTATCTCTTCCTAGAATAACCCTTACCTCTCCTTCCTTTCACTCCAGATTTATCCATTCTCTTGGTCATCATATTCTGCTCCATTCTCTGAATGTTCAAACTGCCTCACCCACTCTTTCTCCACCCTCTGAACAATACCTTACATAACCCCATTTTGGGTTCTGATTTCAAATCTCCAAATTCTCTGCATAATATTCACACCACACATATCCCTCAGACACGACATCTCTGCTGTCTCCAACCACCTCCTAACTGCAACATTCAAAACCCATGCCTCACACCCATGTAAATGTTGGTACCACTATACTCTGGTACTTTCCAGTGGCATATGATGTCCAGTAACCCAATCACTAGCACACTCAACTCACACACTAAGGTTTGAGAATCAATCCCCCAGTATGGGTCGAAAACATTAGGACATGTTTCCATAAGACATCTGCTGTCCATGTTCACCCATGAGTAAAATGGGTAATTGGGTATTAGTAGACTGGTGTGGGTGGCATCCTGGGGCAAAATTGACCTAATGCACAATAAAATGTAGCATTAGTTGTACTTGTGTCCTTTTACTTAACATGTTGTAAGTAATTTAACAACGTAATTGCACATAATAATAATAATACAGGATACATGTATATCTAATTTTCAAACACCCATAATTATAAATATTCTTGCTTGCAAATGGGTCACTTAACGACCATTTCAGTATTTAAAACCATCCATACGCAGTATAAACATGTGTTGAACATGGCCGTCCCAGGAAGTTCTGTATTTGTTTGTTCGGAATATACAGCTAGGTCACAATTAGTGTCAATAATGAATCCTGTGAGCTGGTGACATTTGGATTCACACTATTCAAATTATGTGTGATTTTTGTGCACAATTTTTTAGAGTTTGGGGGACTCTAGCATTAATTTTCTTTTGCACTAAATCAAAATTATCACTAATTGAGACCTGGCTGTAATAATTACATAAAATTTACTTGTTTGTTAGTTGAAACACTAGAAATGTAATTAATTTTTGACAGAAAAAAATGTAACTTGTTTTAAACTTGAAACAAAAGAGATGTAATTTGTTTTTGACTGAAAAAATGTAACTTGTTTTAAACTTGAAACAAAAGAAATGTAATTTGTTTTTGACAGAAAAAATGTAACTTGTTTTAAACTTGAAACAAAAGAAATGTAATTTGTTTTTGACTGAAAAAATGTAACTTGTTTGTAAATTGAAAAAGAAATGATGTAATTTGTTTATAAGTTGAGAATGTGCAGTAATAATGTCTGGCATTATTCTGTCAGTCTACTGGTTGTGAGCTGCATGCCGCCCCCCGTCTCATCTGCCGTCATCCTCACTCGAGCCTGCGGAGGAAACGTGGCAGCAGCCGTCTTCAACTCTGTCGTCGGGAGTTTTCTCGGCCTGTTCTTGACCCCCTTGTCTCTGAGGATGTGGGTGAGTGGCGAGGCTCTCATCCGTACCTGGCTTCGACGCCCTCCTGTTGAAATTCCAGTACATGCCGTGATGCTCATTGCCTCTGCTATTTTGTCCACTGATGATCTTCATAATCCTTCTACATACAGGATAGTAACAGACGTTGGTAGAGGTCCATTATTTGTTTGCCACTCTTGTTTACTCTGTCCCCTTTCTCTTCATGTAATTGTGCTAGACATCCTGCCATTACAATTGCAGTATTGGTCATGATAAGTTATTTATCATTCAAATTTCTGGTTTTAATTCTTCCTATTGTTTGAAGAGCTAGCAGTGCAGTGCAGTTTATTCATACACTAAATACAGTGGACCCCCGACTTACGATCAGCTCCCAACTCGAACAATTATGTAAGTGTATTTTTGTAAGCGTATTTTTGGGGGTCTGAAATGGATTAATCTAATTTACAATATTCCTTATGGGAAAAAATTTGTTCAGTAACAGCACCCGAACAGACTTCCGGAATGAATTAATATCGTAAGTCGGGGGTCCACTGTATAAACATTAGTAATTTATAATTATATATATATATACATATGCAAAACAACCACTCTGAAAGAATAGAGAAATTCCAAGCGCTTTTGTGACTACTCACATTATCAAGGAACATAGTTCCTTGATAATGTGAGTAGTCATGAAAGCGCTTGGAATTTCTCTATTCTTTCAGAGTGGTTGTTTTGCATATTCTGAAATCACCTGTTTACTGTGATCTTATTGCATATATATATATATATATCTTTCAACACACCGGCCGTATCCCACCGAGGCGGGGTGGCCCAAAAGGAAAAACGAAAGTTTCTCCTTTTACATTTAGTAATATATACAGGAGAAGAGGTTACTAGCCCCTTGCTCCCGGCATTTTAGTTGCCTCTTACAACACGCATGGCTTACGGAGGAAGAATTCTGTTCCACTTCCCCATGGAGATAAGAGGAAATAAACAAGAATAAGAACTAGAAAGAAAATAGAAGAAAACCCAGAGGGGTGTGTATATATGTGCTTGTACATGTATGTGTAGTGTGACCTAAGTGTAAGTAGAAGTAGCAAGACGTACCTGAAAATCTTGCATGTTCATGAGACAGAAAAAAGGACACCAGCAATCCTACCATCATGTAAAACAATTACAGGCTTTCGTTTTACACTCACTTGGCAGGACGGTAGTACCTCCCTGGGCGGTTGCTGTCTACCAACCTACTACCTATATATATATATATATATATATATATATATATATATATATATATATATACACACATATACAGTAGAACCCCGATGTCCATGGATTCGGTTTCTGGAATTTCAGTTATCCACTGTTTACCGTGGCCCAAAAGTAACCCTTAATTTTGTTTAATAATGGCCCCAAAGCACAAAGGTAGTGATGCTGGCCGTTCTTCAAAGCCTAAGAGAAGCTGTGAAGTTCTTCCTATCAGTAAAAAGTGATAATTTTCAACTTACTGTGTGTGATTTATCAATTAAGCTTTATCATAGGATGTATGTAAATAAAAAATGGCATACATAGGGTTCATTGCTACCCGTAGTTTTGGCATCCACTGCAGGTCTTGGACCGTATCCCCGTGGATACGGTAGATTACTGTATACATACATACATTTTTTTTAACAAACCAGCCATATCCCATCAAGGCAGGGTGACCTAAAAAGAAAAACAAAAGTTTTTCTTTTTAAATTTAGTAATGTATACAGGAGAAGTGGTTACTAGCCCCTTGCTCCTGACACTTTAGTCGCCTCCTACAACACACGTGGCTTACAGAGAAAGAATTCTGTTCCACTTCCCCGTGGAGAACATATATATATATGTATACAGGCAGGTATATAAATAACCAAAAAGGTACAATACCGTGACTGGAACAATACACAAATAACCCGCACATAGAAGAGAGGAGCTTACGACGACGTTTCGGTCCGTTAGTGTGACTTTGTAAATGGTCTAAGTCGGACCGAAATATCGTCGTAAACTCCTCTCTTTTATGTGCGGGTTATTTGTGTAAGGCAGGTATATACATTGTGCCTGGGTTGGGAAGAAACATGGCTTGTAAACCAGGCTGCCCAGCCGATGTGGCATTTGTGACTGAGTGGAGAAGAGTGTCAGTTGGGAACCTTGCCAGTCTTCCTGTAGTGGGTTCGAATCCAGCTGATATAAGGGACACCCATCATTAGTCTGTTTTATTGAGGATTTGCTCTATTTGTTAATTAGGATTTTTTTGTTTAATGAATCCTTTCATAAAGGATGCATATATGACACGTTTTGGGGAAATTAGTTAACTGGACTTGAGTCCTGGAGGTGGGAAGTACAGTACCTGCACTCTGAAGGATGAGTGAGGATGCTGCAGTTCTGGAGGTGGGAAGTACAGTACCTGCACTCTGAAGGATGAGTGAGGATGCTGCAGTTCTGGAGGTGGGAAGTACAGTACCTGCACTCTGAAGGATGAGTGAGGATGCTACAGTTCTGGAAGTGGGAAGTACAGTACCTGCACTCTGAAGGATGAGTGAGGATGCTACAGTTCTGGAGGTGGGAAGTACAGTACCTGCACTCTGAAGGATATGTGGGGATGATACAGCCAAGAGAGTCATCTGAACTCTGATGTCAACATGCTTCTGGCAAGACAGCAATTGAATGAATGATGGTGAATGTGTTTCCTCTTTCATGCATCTTCTAACCCCAGTGGGAGACCTGGTGTGGTTAAAGCAAAAATCTGACACAGTACTCTGCTTTTTATTAAAAAAAAATCATTTCCTTACAGCTTGGTGTGTCTGCATCCATCCCAGTCATTGATACAGTCATGTATCTTTTGCTCACAGTTCTGTTACCTCTTTGTGCTGGTCACTTATACCAGAGAAGAGGTCACAGTCAGGTCAGCGTGCCTCAGGGATCATCCTTGGCAGTTGTGGGGCAGTGGATGCTGCTCCTTATTATATATTCAACCTTCTGTGATATGTTCAGATCATCAAAATTAGAAGAATTACTTCCACGAATGGCCAGCACGATATTTATAGGTAAATTCAATGTTGTGTATTATTTTATGAACTTTTGTTTCATTATTTTTTAGCAATAAGTAATAATTTTATACAGTCCTATGTGTTTTATATCTCAAAGTGTCTATACATCTGGAAGTACGTCAATGTATATAGCAGGTCCCTGCTTATACAGCAGGGTAGGTTCCAGGCTACTGCTGTACAGGAGGGCCCCTCTTATACAGCAAGTTAGGTTCTGGGCTACTGCTGTACAGGAGGGCTCTGCTTATACAGCAAGTTAGGTTCTGGGCTACTGCTGTACAGGAGGGCCCCTCTTATACAGCAAGTTAGGTTCTGGGCTACTGCTGTACAGGTTCGAAGTTCTGACCAGAGCTTTGGTAAGAGGGAAGGGGGGAAGAAGGATGGGTAAGGATGGAAGTTGGGAAAGGTTGGGGAGGGAGGAGGGGTAGGTGGGGTTATAAAAGGGTAGTGGCCTATCCACTTTGGTGTAATTTGAATATGCGTGTGTGCATATTGAGTAGTTTATAAAGAGGTTGGTTTTATGAGTAGGGTATACCTCCTGCCCATCAATTACGCAATGCTATAGTGTGTTATACCAGTGCGTCATTGAATTGGAAGGATGCATACTGCATACAATTGCTTGCCTTTTTTTTTTTTTTTTTTTCCCCGCAAGAGGTTGGTCAGGAGGCGCAGCTGCAGGTGAAGGTTGCTGGGCATTCGATGGAGGTTGGTTGCTCACCTGGAGTCGGCCAGCAAGGCAGTGACTGAGGTGGTGTCCTGCTGTATTGTAGTAGTAGGTGAACGAGGTCAGTTGTGAGGTGTTGGTTGATAGAAGTGGGTCACCCAAAGATGGGGAGCGCTTGTCCATGTTACTGGACATAGAATGGTTCCGGTGGTATCCATTCTTCGTCTGCGGGTAGGTCGCTTAAGATCTTGGGACGAGGGAAGTTCTCCTTATGGATAAAGCGTCGAACTCTTTGTTGGAGGGTCATTCTTTGGGATCTGTGGGGAGGGGTGGTGATGGTATAGTCGGTTGTGTTCACTGGTAGGGGGGGATTCTCTCTGTCAGGCACGTAGAGTTCCTGCATGTCATATAGTTGTCTCTTAGTAAGTTTGTCTAATCGGACATTGATTGCGGGGATTCTCTGTTGTATGTGTAGGTCCTCTGATCTGATTCTGTCTCTGAGTCTGGTGTTCGTGATGAAGCGGAGGGCTTTGTTTTGGACTCTTTGGAGTTTTAGCATGTTGGTTTTGGTTGTGAGCGACATGGGTACGCAGGGGTATTCCAGCAGAGGTCTGATCATCATCTTGTTCAGGTGTAGTTTGATGTGGGGAGGGGCTGCTTTGAATCGATAAAGCTGGCAAGGCGGGCTTTCGCTAGGTTTACTTTTTTGGTTATGTGGGTTGTAGAGTTGAGTAATCTGCCGATCTCGTATCCTAGGATCTTGTTTGGATTCCTTATAGCAATACGAGTACTTCTGATGGAAATGCCCCCTTTTTCTTCTATGGTTGATGGTAAGCACCCAACGGTGCTGATGAGGACTTTGTCAGGGTTGGTTGTGATTCTCCATTTCTTCTCCCACCTGGCAGTTCTATTTAGTTCTTCGTTCGTTTTCTCGGTTGCTCTCCTATGCTTGTTTGCACCAGCTGTAGGGGTGGAGAACAACATGGATGACATCGTCTGCGAATTGGGTGATGATGGTGTCGGTATGTTCAGGCTGGGGGAGGTCGTTGACGTATATGTTGAAGAGGACGGGGCTGAGGCAGGAGCCTTGGGGTACTCCTGCTGTTGGTGTGAAGGGGGTTGATTCTGCTCCGTGGAAGGTGGGGATGATTTTTCTTCCTGTTAAGAAGTTGTAGATGAGCCTGAGAAAGGTCCAGTTGTGATCAGGGAGGTCTACGAGTTTGTAAATGAGACCATCGTGCCAAAGGTTGTCGAAGACCTTGTGTATGTCCCTGGTGGCGATAAGGGCCAGGTTCCCTTGCTTCTTCAGGCTGGCCACGGCATCATAGATGATGTTTATGGCATGCTGGGTGCTGCGGCGAGACCTGAAGCCGAACTGCCTTTCAGAGAATAGGTGGTTGAACTCCATGTAATAGTTGAGTCTGTTGGAGATTATTCTTTCAAAGACTTTGCCCATGACTTCAAGTAGGGAGATGGGTCTGTAATTCTTGGGATTGTGGTTGTCCTTGTTTGGTTTGGCGATGAAGATCATCTTAGCTGTCTTGAAAGCCTCTGGGAAGTGACCAGATGCCAAGATGGCATTGTAGATATTCACCAGAGACATCTTGCAGTTACGGGGGAGGTACTTTAGTTGTTTAGCTCTTATGCCTGATGGGCTAGGTTCTGTGTTTCTCAGTCGCCCTATGACTTGGAATACTTCTCTGAGCGTGATTGGTCTGGTGAGGGGATGTTCGTCTTCAAGAGTAGCTGTGTCAATTGATGGTATAGGATGAAAGTCTTCTAGGTTCTCGTCCCACCAGTGGTTGACCCACTGGTAGTGGGTGTTGTTAAATCTTCTGCTGTCGTTGTGTGAGAGAATGTTCTCCCATACTTCACCCATCAGCTTGGCTTGGTCCAGTGGGTCGTCAAGTAGTGTAGTCACTACCTCGCCATTTTTGTCGGTGAAGGAGTGTGAGAGGTGTTGAGTGGGAGTGTGGTTGGCCCCTAGTAGTCTGCGGATCGTGCTCCAGAATTGGTCAGGGTGGCGTTTGTACTGGTTAGCTTGGCACACCAGATAATCCCAAAGATCTCTTTTATGTTGGGTTATTAGGGAGATTAGTTCTCTTCTCGATCTTAGTAGGGCTACTCGGGAGGGTTGCCCTGTGAGGAAGTGTCTACTGCATTCTAATTGGTACCTGTTCATTCTGTCCTTGATTTCCCTAGTTGGTTTGTATTATTGGTATATCTTGGACGATGTTAGTGTGCAGCAAGCTTGTGTGGCCTCTTTGATTCTGGTGTGAAGGGAGTTAATTGCCCCATCTATTGCATTGCAGGGCTGGTCTTTGAGAGAGATGGTTTGATCATTACCTAAGAAGGCTCTAAAGGGGTCGAAATCTAGCGTCTTCAGGTTGGGTTTGGGGGGGTGGGTGTACGGAACGGAGTGGACTGTAGCTTGATTACCACAGGGATGTGATCTGATCTGATGTTGCCACCTGGGGAGAGATTACAGTGGAACAAGTCACAGTCTCTGTTGGTGAGGACTACGTCTGGGGTGCCTGGGTGGTGGCCCACAAACGACTTGAAGAATGGGCCTTGGAATTTGAGGTCTTTTGCGGCCATTATGTGGTATAGTTGTTTCCCCTTGTGGTCACCTTGGGGCAGGGTGGCTCCACAATTGAAGAGAGCAGGGTGGTGGGCATTGAAGTCCGCAGCTAGGACGGTGGGGATATTTCTATTGAGAAGTCGGTGTAAGGGAATGGATTTGATGTACGGTTGCCTGGGAGGGAAGTACCCTGTGATTGCTAGGAGTCTCCCATGTGATGTTGGCACTTCGACCGCTAGGACGTTGTCCTCGTCGACATGTATGTTGCAGAATTCATGCCCTTGCTTCACTAAGATGGCCACCCCACTGTTGGGTCCCCTGGATTTCTCAAGAGTTGAGTACCCAAGTATCTTTATGTGCTGGTCAGGTCTGGCTGATGTTTCATTTAAGAGGACAATGTCTGGGTTGTGGTTGCAGAGTTCAAGTTCAAGGAGGTAACGGTTGTTGAAGAAGTGATGGATGTTGATTTGCAGAATTGTGATCCCCATTATTGTACATGTTTGGCAGAGTTGCTGTGCACAGCGGATGGGTGTTTGGTGGCGCAGTCACGTGGCGGTTGTCTGCGCTTACTCTTGGGAATGTGTGAGGGAGGGGGATTGTAGTCTTGGGTGGACTTCTGAGTGGAGAATTGGTCATCGTCTGTGCTGTTGGTGACGTTGATATCTGATGACGAGTCTGAATCGTCTGAATCATCGTTAGGCCTGAGGGGCGAATCAGGGTCAGAGTTGTTTTGGATGGTTGAGACGTCAGTCTCATTGGTTGTCGACGCTGTCGACATTGGGGACATTGGAGGTTGAGTAAGGTTGGTTAAGTCTTGATATAAGTCTTGTTGCTCAGAGGGTATCTCACATGGGGTGGCAGTGGGACCAGGTTGGTCCATTAGGTCAGCCTCAGTGGCAGTTGGTTGTGCATCTGCTAGTGATGCAGATGCAGGGGTTGTTGGTTCCATGCTGGTGGATGGTTGGTCGTGTGCAGGGATATGGGTTGAGGGGCTCATGTATTGGCGCACTGAGTCGGGGATGATTATGGCTGAAGTGCCATTAGCAATGAACAACTCATTGAGGATGGTGCAGCAGAGGTGGTCGTTGCCCTTGGACCATTCTTTGGCCAGCATGAAGTATGCTGTGCTCTTTATTATCCCTTCTTGGATGAGGCCGGAGGGGATGGGGTAGGAGGGAGGCCCTTGGGGCTGGTGGGGGTCTGGAGTATGGAGGGGGTGGAGGCCTGGGGGGGCTGGGGATCCAAGCATTGTGTTGCGATGTAGTGGCAGTAAGAGCATTGCTGGTGCTCGGCAGGTTGGGGTAAGATTCGTGGGACATAGGGGGAGGAGATTGAGCTGCCTTTTGTTTGGCATTGGTCAGTTTTCTGTTTTCAAGGGCTTTACGGACTTCGGTTTTCCTGGTAGGGCAAGTAGGTGAGACAGCATGGTGGGACCCACCATAGAGGATACACTTGGGTTTATTTCTGTTAGGGCAGTCCTTGTATATGTGGGCATCTGCACAGATGCTGCGTACAGGATTTACTTTGGTGCATTTGTTTGTGTTGTGACCAAAGTGGTAGCATTTGAAGCATTGGGTGATGGAGACGAATCTCTCCATGCTGACTTGGTCCAGCGTGCATTTGGTGCCGAAGCTTTTCAGGCCATGGTCACATACGTATTTGGCTTCCTCAGGTGTCTCAAGGATAAGTTTCAGCGATTGCTGGTTGACAGAGTTCTTGGCAAACTTGTAAGCCTTGAGAACCGTGAATTCGGAGTTGTCTTTGTTGATTCCGTCCATGAGTTCAACGTCAGTGTGTTCACGCATGATGCTGTTGATGCGTACAACAAACACTGAGCGCTGAGCCTGGAAGTTGTCAGGTGGAGTGGGGGAAATGCCCTCATCAGCGAGTTTGTCTAGAACATCTCTTTTTAGAAAGTGGAGTAGCTCCTCTTCTGAGGAGATCAGTAGTACTGCACCAGTGTGGGTGGTGAATATGTTCACAGGTGCAATGGTAGCCTTGCTATGAATGCAGTCTAAAATTTCCCTTTTGAATTTCGGGTCACCAGTGACCCAAAGTCTCACTCTTATATTGGGCATCTTGCCCAGCTAATTTAAAGCTGACTCAGATAATATGCTGAAAAGAAATCAGTTGCCTGTGTGTGCTGCATCCTAATTCCTATTTCGGCTGACTTATGAAGGACAGCCCCTAAGATAGCCTAGCCCTCGAGGGTGTGAGGGGAGACGGGGCCCAAGGCAAAGATCGGCCGGATTTTAAAAAACCACACGGGCTACTGGATGGTCAAAATGTCTTGTTTTAAGTCGCCAAAGGCGAAGTTGCTGAAAAATAAGAAGACAGGAAAGTTAGAAGGATAGCAGTGTGAGTAGAGTGTTCTGTGGATAGGCCAGTGTATTGGGTTGGGTAATGGGAGGGGTTGGGGTGGGGAAGGATGAGGATGGGGGTGGTGGGGGAGAGAGGGAACAAGCAGGCTGGTCACCGCCTTACCCTCTTGATGGGATGGTGCTGGAAGTGACTGCCAGCAAGTTTCCTCTCAGCTCTGGTCGAGACAACTCAGGATAACCCAAGAAAAATCTCGAGTAACAGTGTTCAGAGTTGCTCTGATCTCGAATTACTCAGGATAACTGAAGAGCAGGAGCGGCGACGTCTTCTCTCCTCGGTGGCTGGATGGCCTGCTGTACAGGAGGGCCCCACTTATACAGCATGTTAGGTTCTGGGCTACTGCTATACAGGAGGACCCTGCTTATACAGCAAGTTAGGTTCTGGGCTACTGCTGTACAGGAGGGGTCTGTTTATGCAGCAAGTTAGGTTCTGGGCTACTGCTGTACAGGAGGGCTCCGCTTATACAGCAAGTTAGGTTCTGGGCTACTGCTGTACAGGAGGGCCCTGCTTATACAGCAAGTTAGGTTCTGGGCTACTGCTGTACAGGAGGTCCCTGCTTATACAGCAAGTTAGGTTCTGGGCTACTGCTGTACAGGAGGGCTCTGTTTATACAGCAAGTTAGGTTCTGGGCTACTGCTGTACAGGAGGGCTCTGCTTATACAGCAAGTTAGGTTCTGGGCTACTGCTGTACAGGAGGGCCCTGCTTATACAGCAAGTTAGGTTCTGGGCTACTGCTGTACAGGAGGGCCCTGCTTATACAGCAAGTTAGGTTCTGGGCTACTGCTGTACAGGAGGTCGCTGCTTATACAGCAAGTTAGGTTCTGGGCTACTGCTGTACAGGAGGTCCCTGCTTATACAGCAAGTTAAGTTCTGGGCTACTGCTGTACAGGAGGTCCCTGCTTATCCAGCAAGTTAGGTTCCGGGCTACTGCTGTACAGGAGGTCCCTGCTTATACAGCAAGTTAGGTTCCAGGCTACTGCTGTACAGGAGGGCCCCGCTTATACAGCAAGTTAGGTTCTGGGCTACTGCTGTACAGGAGGGCTCCGCTTATACAGCAAGTTAGGTTCTGGGCTACTGCTGTACAGGAGGGCTCTGCTTATACAGCAAGTTAGGTTCCAGGCTACTGCTGTACAGGAGGGCCCTGCTTATACAGCAAGTTAGGTTCCAGGCTACTGCTGTACAGGAGGGCCCCGCTTATACAGCAAGTTAGGTTCCAGGCTACTGCTGTACAGGAGGGCTCCACTTATACAGCAAGTTAGGTTCCAGGCTACTGCTGTACAGGAGGGCCCCGCTTATACAGCAAGTTAGGTTCCAGGCTACTGCTGTCAAGCAAAAATCACTGTATAGTGAATCATAGCCTTTTTTAACTTCCAAATGCATATAAAAGCCTGGCAACATGTTTACACTATCATATATTAAGTAAGTGATATAGGCAGGCCTAAAAAAGTGCATATACAGTAAGATAAGATAAGATTTCGTTCGGATTTTTAACCCCGGAGGGTTAGCCACCCACATTACTTACAATAAAATACACCTACCATCTGACTTACGACCACTCGACTTACGACCGTGTTTTTTATGCCAAATTTCTGGGAAATAAACAAGTATTTGTGTTGTACACAGTGTTTATCCTAAACCTTACAGTATAAAATACAGTACTAACAACATAAAAAGTAAAGTAAAACATGAAATACCAAAATAAAACAATAAAATAAAGTCATTACAAAAATGTCTTGTTGATATTCAGTAGTAAAGTTCGACTTATGACCATTTCGACTTACGACCATTTCGACTTGCGACCGGTTTCTCGGAACCGAACTCGGTCGTAAGTCGGATGGTAGGTGTACTTTCATCCTTAGCTTATGGTGAGTGGTGAATATATTTATTGTAGGAAATCTGAATAAATGAAGAATGGGTATAATATTAAAACTGCTGTATTAGCGAAACATTGTAAAGCAAAGTGCTGTAAAGTGGGACCTGCCTGTACATCAAGAATTGTACAGTATATATACACAGTGTATATACACAACTAACCCATCTCTTTGGGAAGGACCTACTTCCACTGGGGAATCCCGCCTACCAGTGACTTTGCCCTCGTCTGCTGCCCGTCCCTATCCACTGACACCTATATAACCGCCAGTCTTCTTGTCTTTGCTCCAGACTCTCCTCCACCACGATGCTGTGAACACTAACTCCAAGGCCGAGGGACTGATTACCTCATCTTTTGTATATAGTTCTACTGTCTTCCTATTATGTCCTAGAATCTGTATTGATAAAGCCACTGGATGGCGAAACGTCTACTACAATAAAGATATCCAGATGTTGCACATGTGTCTTAACTTTCACAAGAATATGTATATCTCTCAGTGTATTTAGCACTGATGGGTGTGTATTTTTTGGTGTACATTATACACTAGTAAGTCTTTATCTCCGACTGTATATACACTGAGAGTTTACTTAGGTATTAAGCTATTCTTGACTGGGTTATATAAGTGATATGAAGCCTTAACAACCCTTATTCAGAAGATAGACTTCAAACTTAGCATACCAATCAGGCTTACCACCTTTTTTATAAAATCCTGAAGTGCATATTCGTAGCAATAAATTCATAATGATTCAGTCAGATTATTTTTAATTTTTCCCATGTTTATGAAAATATTCAATTTTTTGCTTTTGTGCTCTCAGAAAATTAGTTTAATAAAGCATGGAATGGACAGGATTTGAACCACTCCATAGCCTATGTCTAGTTTTAACCCTTAAGCTGTCCAAGCGTAGATTTGTGTTCACTCATGTAGTGCTCCGAACGTAGATCTACGTTCGATTTTACGTGCTTTCTTATGTAAAAAAACGTAGATATACATTCGGAGTGCTGGGCGAGTAAACGTAGATCTACATTTGGACAGTTTAGGGGTTAAGTAATGTGTAAGCATTAAGACTACTCTGCCTGAAGTGCTCAGGCTTGTTAGTGACTTTCTTTGTGCTTAACAATATTATAGTACATGTAAACTACTCATTGTATACTATGCAAAGAAAGAAATTTTTTAATTTGAATTTGAGAGGCAAGTGCTGGAGCCGTGAGTCTCAGGACTAGCTTGGTTTGTTTACAGTCTTGCTGTTACGATTTTATGGGTCTTAATTCTTCTTCTTTCAACACACTGGCTGCATCCCACTGAGGTAGGGTGACCTTAACCCTTAAACTGTCCAAATATAGGTCTACATTCACTCACGTAGTGTTCCGAACATGGATCTACGTTTTTTTTACATTCTTTCTTATGGAGAAAATCAAGGTCGGAGCGCTACGCGTGCAAACGTGGATCTACGTTTGGACAGTTTAAGGGTTAAAAGAAAAACAAAAGTTTTCCTTTTTAAATTTAATCATTACTAGCACCTTGCTCCAGCATTTCAGTAATTTATACAGGAGAAGGTGTTACTAACACCTTGCTTCCAGCATTTTAGTAATCTCTCATGATACGTGTGGCTTACGAATGAGTCTTTAATTATTTTAATATTTACTGTGCATCATTGTTTTGCAGTGGTGTGCATGCAGTGTGCATTGCTGTGTGCAACATGGTGGGTGTGTCAGCGGTGGCTGGTGGGCTGGTTCACCCGTGGTGATACCTTGGCAATAATGTTCTGTTCTACGCACAAGTCACTCACGCTAGGTCAGTTTCCCTTCAAACTTTGTGTCGTCTGTAATAATAATAATAATTTTTTTTCTCCAAGCACATGACACAATTTATACAGACCGTAGCTGACATCAGTAACATACTACGAATATAGAAAGTCTCTCGTTATGCAAAGCATTTTTGGAAAATTCGGCCAATTTTGTCCCCAGGATGTGATCCAAACTAGTTGACTAACACCCAGGTACCTACTTACTGCTAGGTGAACAGTGACAGCAGGTGTAATGTGACTAGCACCCAGGTACCTACTTACTGCTCAATAACCCTAGGCCTAAAAAAAATGCAAAACTAAAAATAATAAAAAAAAATGAAAATTAACGAAAACATCTTAAGAGCAAGGCAAGCATCCAAAGTAAACATGAATATAATTGAAAAGCATCGTATTAGCGAAGCGCTCCAAAGTGAGCATCGTATTAATGAGGTGTGACTGTACGTTATTTATGCATTAACTGCAAGGACAATTTTTAATGTTTTATGTATTTTGTTATTCATGTTTATGTAAACTTTAGCATTCTTATTTTATCGTGATTGTTCTTTTTGTGAGATGATATGAGAATGCTTTTGACATTCTCAAAAAAATAGTCAAGATTGATAAAATCCCAAATTATAAATTTTTTTTTTATTATGACTATTGTTATTATTACTATTGTTTTATAATTATTATTGTACTATTGTTTTTATTATTATTGTTTTTCTTTCTTTCTTTCAACACACCGGCAGTATCTCACCGAGGCGGGGAGGCCCCCTCCAAAAAAAAAAAAAGTTTCTCTATTTACATTTAGTAATATATACAGGAGAAAGGGTTACTAGCCCCTTGCTCCAGGTATTTTAGTCACCTCTTACAACATGCATGGCTTACGGAGGAAGAATTCTGTTCCACTACCCCATGGAGATAAGAGGAAATAAACAACAATAAGAACTAGAAAGAAAATAGAAGAAAACTGAGGGGTGTGTATGTATATGCTTGTACATGTATGTGTAGTGTGACATAAGTGTAAGTAGAAGTAGCAAGACGTACCTGAAACCTTGCATGTTAATGAGACAGAAAAAAGGACACCAGCAATCCTACCATCATGTAAAATAATTACAGGCTTTCGTTTTACACTCACTTGGCAGGACGGTGATACCTCCCTGGGCGGTTGCTGCCTACCAACCTACTTCCTACATTATTATTATTAATTATTATTATTATTATACAATATATTAGTTATTTGGAAGGGCAATTTTTAAATATTTTTTATCTAATTTTGTGGACACATTACAGGTCTTCCTATTCTGCGTATATTGGTGTCGGAAGTGACGGCGCTAGGAGAGTTGGCGCTTCCCCTCTTAGTATATCACCCGCTGCAGATGGTGCTTGGGGGAACCCTCACCCCACGCCTCACTGCCTGGGCTCAACACAAGTCTCACAGGTGAGGCATTTGTCCAGGAATGCTGCTCGTTTTATCTCTGTCTCGTGAATGTGTAAGATGATAGGTGAATCTTACGAACTTTTGCTTACGTTTGGTGTACCTGTGTGGTTATTTTCTTGCGTGTTTCAAGATCTTAGTACAGTGGCAGCACCAAGAAGGGACAAGTGGGAGGTTAAAGATCCCCAGCATCTCCCTAAATAATAATAATAATAATAATAATAATAATATTTGCTGTGAATGGTGATAAAAGTTTTTCTTTTTCGGGCCACCCTGCCTTGGTGGGAATCTGTCGATGTGTTAATAAAAAAAAAAATTTGCTGTTTGGAGAGACAACTGAACTGTCATATGTGTGCACCTCTGGCAAAACAGTGATAGTGCGGTGATGGTAAAAAACGTTTCTTTTTCGGATCAACGTGCCTCAGTATGAGACAGCCAGCATGTTAAAATAATATTTTTTATTTATTTTATGAATACATCAGCCATTTCCCACCAAGGCAGGGTGGCCTGAAAATGAAAAACTTTCACCATCATTTACTCCATCACTGTCTTGCCAGAGGTGCACTTACACCACAGATATAAAACTGCAACATTAACACCCCTCCTTCAGAGTGCAGGCACTGTACTTCCCATCTCCAGGACTCAAGTCCGGCCTGCCGGTTTCCCTGAATCCCTTCATAAATGTTACCTTGATCACACTCCAACAGCACATCAAGACCTAAAAGCCATTTGTCTCCATTTGCTCCTGTCTAACACGCTCACGCATGCTTGCTGGAAGTCCAAGCCCCTCGCACACAAAACCTCCTTTACCCCAGTCCCTCCAACCTTTCCTAGGCCGACCTTTTCCCCCGCCTTCCTTCTCAAAGTCATAATAATAATAATAATAATAATAATAATTGCCCTAGGTATTAGGTTGGTAGACAACAACTTCCCAAGTGAGTGTAAAATGAAAGCCTGTAATTGTTTTACATGATGGTAGGATTGCTGGTGTCTCTTTTCTGTCTCATAAACATGCAAGATTTCAGGTATGTCTTGCTTCTTCTACTTACACTTAGGTCACACTACACATACATGTACAAGCATATACTGTACATACACACACTTCTGGGTTTTTTCTATTTTCTTGCTAGTTCTTGTTCTTGTGATGAATGGTTTGAAAAACTGACAAGTTGAAGATTGAGACACTTATGCAACATATGCGAATTTTTATTCAGGAAATGTTTCGCCACACAGTGGCTTCATCAGTCCAATACAAAGTAGAAAGGCGTAAGGAGAGGAGGAGTTTGAGGTAATCAGTCCCTCAGCCTGGAGTCGATGTGTTCAGTCCATCAATCTTGTAGAATGTACAGCATAGGGCCATAGACGTGGCTTATATACTGTAGTGAGGTGAGGCGAAGCAGGAGGTGGGGTCATAGTGGTATCATCCACTGGTCGAAGTAGGTCTTCGTCAAAGGTTGGACAAGTGTTGAAGAATTCTTTGTAACAAGATCCCATGATGCTGCAGTGTCAGTTCTTGTTTTTGTTTATTTCCTCTTATCTCCATGGGGAAGTGGAACAGAATTCTTCTCCTGTAAGTCATGCATGTCGTAAGAGGCAATTAAAATGCTGAGAGCAAGGGGCTAGTAACCGCTTCTCCTGTATATATTACTAAAGTTAGAAAGAGAAACTTCTGTTATTCCTTTTGGGCCACCCCGCCTCGGTGGGATATGGCTGGTTTGTTGAAAGGAGAAGAGGAATTACTTTTGGAGGGACATCCAAACCATCGTATCTGCACGCCTCTGGCAAAACGGTGATGAAATGTGTGATGGTAAAAGCGTTTCTTCTTTTACGGGTCACCCTACCTTGGTGGGAAAGAGCCAGCATGTTAAAAAATAATGTTGTTCATGTACAGGTTTTTGATGGTTCAACTTTACAATGGTGCTAAAGCAATTACATACTTTGATGATGAAACTTAAGATAATTACCCGGCACAAAGGCAGTAAGTCCACAACTTTTTTTTTTAACATGTTGGCCGCCTCCCACCAAGGCAGGTGACCCAAAAAAAGAAAGAAACACTTGTATTCATTTATTTACTTTTCATGTATTTATTTTCTTGTATCCATTTATGTATTTACTTATCAATACAGCTTCTCCTCGCCTAGCGACATACTCGTTTACTGACGACTCAGACTTACGACGGGCTCTCTGACCAGTATGCATACCTAAATAATGTATATTAGAGATGATTTCCTCTATTCTGTTTATTACAATATACAGTATACTGCTTTACAAACATTTTAAAATATACTAAAAATATTGTAAATGGTGCAGAAGTGACATTAAAGCAATATTAAAGATGGCTGACACAAACCCACTACTATTAGAGTATGCTCCTCGTATAGCGACGAATTTGTTTACCAACACGGTACAGTGGACCCCCGGTTTACAATATTATTTCATTCCAGAAGTATGTTCAGGTGCCAGTACTGACCGAATTTGTTCCCATAAGGAATATTGTGAATTAGATTAGTCCATTTCAGACCCCCAAACATACACATACAAACGCACTTACATAAATACACTTACATAATTGGTCGCAGTGGGAGCTGATAGTAAAGCGGGGGTCCACTGTATTAGGAACAGAACCCTGTCATTCATCGAGGAGAGGCTGTACTGGTATTTGGTTAATTACGGCAATTATTTGTTTATTTACTTATTAACACTAGTTATTTATTTATTTATTTATTTATTTAGCATATCATATTCATATTTGACTTATGATGGGTTCATTGGAACATAAGTTGAGGAGCACTTGTATATTGGTCTTCGAAGAGAATAATTTGTGTTCTATAGGGATAGTGTTCGTAATTTAGCAAGCAAAGCATTTACAAAATACACTTTAGATTCTCATTATATTATTTTTTTTTTCAGAGTCTTCGCTTTGGAAGTTTAAAAAAAAAATCATTGACAAAATAGGCAGCAAAATTTCAGCACTCTGCATCCCAGATGAGAACACAGCTTCAGGTCTGTCAACAGCCTATAGTGAAAACGTCGGGAAATTGTCATCAACTGATTTTTCTGGTAAAATTTGAAATTTTGATGGTGATACTTTATACAGTAAGTCCTTGACTTACTAACACATTAATGTTGCAGTTTTATAACTGTAGTGTAAGTGCGCTTCTGGCAAGACAGTGATGGAGTGAATGATACAGGAAGTTGAAGACTTTATGCATTATGAATATTATACACAATACAGCCTCTCCTCACTTAACGACGGGGTTTCGTTCCTGAGACTACATTGCTAAACGAATTCAGTGCTAAGTGAGGAGCATACTATAATGGTAGTGAGTTTGTGTCAACCATCTTCGATAATGTTTTAATGTCACCTTTGCACTATTTATAACATTTCTGGCGTATTTTTAAATGTTTATACAGTAGTGTATTGTTATATTGAAATGAAGAGAATGGAGGAAATCAGCTCTAATATACATTATTTTGGTACGAATACTGGTCAGAGAGCCCATCGTAAGTCCGAGGAGTCGGTAAATGAGTACATTGCTAAGTGAGGAGAGGCTGTACAGGTCATCAGTGCATGTGTAGGTCAAGGATTTACACTGTATAGCCGGACTTGAGTGTGAAAGGGGGGTTGATGTTGCAGGGATCAATCTGATTGTGACTATTGGCACTCTTCTGCAAGACAGTAGTTGAGTGAATGTTGATGAATGTGTTTTCATCTCTTGGTCGACATCCTTGGCAGGAGACGGTCGTTGAGTTAAAAAACACATACAGTGGACCCCCGCATAACAATATTATTTCAATCCAGAAGTCTGTTTGGGTGCCGTTATAGACCGAATTTGTTCCCATAAGAGATATTGTGAATTAGATTAGTCCGTTTCAGACCCCCAAAAATACACCTACAAAAGCACTTACAAAAATATACTTACATAATTGGTCGAGTTGGGAGCTGATCGTTATGCGGGGGTCCACTGTACATGTATGTATACATACTCTGTGATGCTGTTATAAATATGTATGTATACTTACTCCCTGACACTGTATTTTTGTATATATGTATGTATACATATTCCATGACACTATTTTCGTTTATATGTATGTATACATACTCCTTGACACTGTGTGATTGTACACATGTATGTATACATACTCCATGACAATGTTGTACACGTTTTTTTTTTTTTTTTTTCAACAAGTCGGTCGTCTCCCACCGAGGCAGGGTGACCCAAAAAAGAAAGAAAATCCCCAAAAAGAAAATACTTTCATCATCATTCAACACTTTCACCACACTCACACATTATCACTGCTTTTGCAGAGGTGCTCAGAATACAACAGCTTAGAAGCATATACGTATAAAGATACACAACATATCCCTCCAAACTGCCAATATCCCAAACCCCTCCTTTAAAGTGCAGGCATTGTACTTCCCATTTCCAGGACTCAAGTCCGACTATATGAAAATAACCGGTTTCCCTGAATCCCTTCACTAAATATTACCCTGCTCACACTCCAACAGATCGTCAGGTCCCAAGTATCATTCGTCTCCATTCACTCCTATCTAACACGCTCATGCACGCTTGCTGGAAGTCCAAGCCCCTCGCCCACAAAACCTCCTTTACCCCCTCTTTCCAACCCTTTCGAGGACGACCCCTACCCCTCTTTCCTTCCCCTATAGATTTATATGCTTTCCATGTCATTCTACTTTGATCCATTCTCTCTAAATGACCAAACCACCTCAACAACCCCTCTTCTGCCCTCTGACTAATGCTTTTATTAACTCCACACCTTCTCCTAATTTGAACACTGAATTTTCTGCATAATATTTACACCACACATTGCCCTTAAACAGGACATCTCCACTGCCTCCAACCGTCTCCTCGCTGCTGCATTTACCACCCAAGCTTCACATCCATATAAGAGTGTTGGTACTACTATACTTTCATACATTCCCTTCTTTGCCTCCATAGATAACGTTTTTTGACTCCACGTATACCTCAATGCACCACTCACCTTTTTTCCCTCATCAGTTCTATGATTAACCTCATCCTTCATAAATCCATCCGCCGACACATCAACTCCCAAGTATCTGAAAACATTCACTTCTTCATACTCCTCCTCCCCAATTTGATATCAATTTTTCTTTATCTAAATCATTTGATACCCTCATCACCTTACTCTTTTCTATGTTTACTTTCAACTTTCTACCTTTACACACATTCTCAAACTCATCCACTAACCTTTGCAATTTTTCTTTAGAATCTCCCATAAGCACAGTATCATCAGCAAAAAGTAACTGTGTCAATTCCCATTTTGAATTTGATTCCCCATAATTTAATCCCACCCCTCTCCCGAACACCCTAGCATTTACTTCTTTTATAACCCCATCTATAAATATATTAAACAACCATGGTGACATTACACATCCCTGTCTAAGACCTACTTTTACCGTGAAGTATTCTCCCTCTCTTCTACATACCCTAACCTGAGCCTTACTATCCTCATAAAAGCTCTTTACAGCATTTAGTAACTTACCACCTATTCCATATACTTGCAACATCTGCCACATTGCTCCTGTATTCACTCTATCATATGCCTTTTCTAAATCCATAAATGCAATAAAAACTTCCCTACCTTTATCTAAATACAGTGGACCCCCGCATAACGATCACCTCCGAATGCGACCAATTATGTAAGTGTATTTATGTAAGTGCGTTTGTACGTGTATGTTTGGGGGTCTGAAATGGACTAATCTACTTCACAATATTCCTTATGGGAACAAATTCGGTCAGTACTGGCACCTGAACATACTTCTTGAGTGAAAAAATATCGTTAACGGGGGTCCACTGTACTGTTCACATATATGCTTCAATGTAAACACTTGATCTACACATCCCCTACTCTCTCTGAAGCCTCCCTGCTCATCTGCAATTCTACATTCTGTCTTACCTCTAATTCTTTCAATTATAACCCTACCGTATACTTTTCCTGGTATACTCAGTAAACTTATTCCTCTATAATTTTTACAATCTCTTTTGTCCCCTTTCCCTTTATATAAAGGAACTATACACGCTCTCCGCCAATCCCTAGGTACCTTCCCCTCTTTCATACATTTATTAAACAAAAGTACCAACCACTCCAACACTATATCCCCCCCTGCTTTTAACATTTCTGTCATGATCCCATCAGTTCCAGCTGCTTTACCCCCTTTCATTCTACGTAATGCCTCACGTACCTCCACCACACTTACATTCTGCTCTTCTTCACTCCTAAAAGATGGTATACCTCCCTGGCCAGTGCATGAAATTACTGCCTCCCTTTCTTCCTCAACATTTAAAAGTTCCTCAAAATATTCTCGCCATCTACCTAATACCTCCTTCTCCCCATCTACTAACTCCCCTACTCTGTTTTTAACTGACAAATCCATACTTTCCCTAGGCTTTCTTAACTTGTTTAACTCACTCCAAAATTTTTTCTTATTTTCATTAAAATTTCTTGACAGTGCCTCTCCCACTCTTTCATCTGCTCTCCTTTTGCACTCTCTCACCACTCTCTTCACCTTTCTTTTACTCTCCATATACTCTGCTCTTCTTATAACACTTCTACTTTGTAAAAACCTCTCGTAAGCTACCTTTTTCTCTTTTATCACACCCTTTACTTCATCATTCCACCAATCACTCCTCTTTCCTCCTGCCCCCACCCTCCTATAACCACAAACTTCTGCCCCACATTCTAATACTGTATTTTTAAAACTATTCCAACCCTCTTCAACCCCCCCACTACTCATCTTTGCACTAGCCCACCTTTCTGCCAATAGTCGCTTATATCTCACCCGAACTTCCTCCTCCCTTAGTTTATACACTTTCACCTCCCTCTTACTTGTTGTTGCCACCTTCCTCTTTTCCCATCTACATCTTACTCTAACTGTAGCTACAACTAAATAATGATCTGATATATCAGTTGCCCCACTATAAACATGTACATCCTGGAGCCTACCCATCAACCTTTTATCCACTAATACATAATCTAACAAACTACTTTCATTACGTGCTACATCATACCTTGTATATTTATTTATCCTCTTTTTCATAAAATATGTATTACTTATTACCAAATTTCTTTCTGCACATAGCTCAATTAAAGGCTCCCCATTTACATTTACCCCTGGCACCCCAAATTTACCTACTACTCCCTCCATAACATTTTTACCCACTTTAGCATTGAAATCCCCAACCACCATTACTCTCACACTTGATTCAAAACTCCCCACGCATTCATTCAACATTTCCCAGAATCTCTCTCTCTCCTCTACACTTCTCTCTTCTCCAGGTGCATACACGCTTACTATAACCCACTTTTCACATCCACTCTTTATTTTACTCCACATAATCCTTGAATTTATACATTTATGTCCCTCTTTTCCTGCCATAGCTTATCCTTCAACATTATTGCTACTCCTTCTTTAGCTCTAACTCTATTTGAAACCCCTGACCTAATCCGATTTATTCCTCTCCATTGAAACTCTCCCATCCCCTTCAGCTTTGTTTCACTTAAAGCCAGGACATCCAGTTTCTTCTCATTCATAACATCCACAATCATCTCATTCTTATCATTTGCACAACATCCACGCACATTCAGACTTCCCACTTTGACAATTTTCTTCCTATTCTTTTTAGTAATCTTTACAGGAAAAGGGGTTACTAGCCCATTGTTCCCGGCATTTTAGTTGACTTTTACAACACGCATGGCTTACGGAGGAAAGATTCTTATTCCACTTCTCCATGGATATAAAAGGAAAAGTAATAAGACCAAGAACTATTAAGATAAAATCAAAGAAAACTCAGATGAGTGTGTATAAATAAACGTGTACATGTATGTGTAGCGTGACCTAAGTGTAAGTAGAAGTAGCAAGACATGCCTGTAATCTTGCATATTTATGAGACAGACAAAAGACACCAGCAATCCTACCATCATGTAAAACAATTACAGGCTTTCGTTTTACACTCACTTGGCAGGACGGTAGTACCTCCCTGGGTGGTTATTGTCTACCAACCTACTACCACAGGACGGTAGTACCTCCCTGGGTGGTTGTTGTCTACCAACCTACTACCACAGGACGGTAGTACCTCCCTGGGTGGTTGTTGTCTACCAACCTACTACCACAGGACGGTAGTACCTCCCTGGGTGGTTGTTGTCTACCAACCTACTACCACAGGACGGTAGTACCTCCCTGGGTGGTTGTTGTCTACCAACCTACTACCACAGGATGGTAGTACCTCCCTGGGTGGTTGTTGTCTACCAACCTACTACCACAGGACAGTAGTACCTCCCTGGGTGGTTGCTGTCTACCAACCTACTACCACAGGACGGTAGTACCTCCCTGGGTGGTTGTTGTCTACCAACCTACTACCACAGGACGGTAGTACCTCCCTGGGTGGTTGCTGTCTACCAACCTACTACCACAGGACAGTAGTACCTCCCTGGGTGGTTGTTGTCTACCAACCTACTACCACAGGACAGTAGTACCTCCCTGGGTGGTTGTTGTCTACCAACCTACTACCACAGGATGGTAGTACCTCCCTGGGTGGTTGTTGTCTACCAACCTACTACATGTATGTATACATAGTCCATGTATGTATGTATACATATTCCATGACACTGTATACATGTATGTATACATACTATATAACACTATGTACACATGTATACATACTCCATGACACTACATACACATGTATGTATGCCAACATGTACATACTGTTGTAATGAATTTTCTTGATTCTAGTCCCTTCAGAGATGCCTTGATGCCACTAAAGGGCTCTTGATCCAAGGTACTGAGCTCCTGGTAAGAGAAAGACATGACTACAGTCATCTTTATCCCCACAACATTTCACCCAGCATGTTTCTCCTGCCCAGCAGGTAGTAGAAACAGTGGTTAGAAGGTGCACTGCAGAAGACTTACTGACCTTGTTTATAATACTGATTATTATTATTATTATTATTATTATTATTATTATTAATTATTATTATTATTACTATATAGTATGTCAGCTATGGTCTGTGTAAGTTGTATCTTATACTTGTAGATATAAAGTCGTTTATTATTATTATTACTTGCCGTGGGTACAAACCCCATCCATTACACGATCTTATTCATTTTCACCATTTAACTTTTTTTTTGCTTTCTTGCTTTGAAAAAGAAACTCCTCGTTGGGTGAAATGTTTAACTAAACATCTTAGCTGCAGTTATGTCTTCATTACCACAAGTCCAGTGCCTTGGATCAGGAGCCCTTGGCTGGCAACAAGGCACGAATAACCTCAAGGAGTGGAATAAACACTAAGTCATAAACTCTAATAAATATTCTCAAGGTATGAAATAAACATTATCATAAACATTTTATTAAATAAACATTCTCACCTCTTTACAAAGATTTTAACACCGAATAAATAAATAAATAACACTAAATTACATGAATGCCCGTAAATATATGCGGTAGAGACAGATCCACAGACAGATTTTTTTTTGTTTCAAGGAGGCAAATGCATGCTGGTTAAGAGCTCTTGATCCAAGAAGTCTGACCTCTCCTCCCTATTCTTGGACGATGTGTGACTGCCTTCCATTCCCCAGGTGCTGTGCGACCGCAGGTTCAACATTTCCCCATGTTCGCCAAGGAGTGTTAAACCCGTAGGAGGTCATCTGGCACCCTGGGGTGCTTAGTGGCAGTCAACTTCACCTTAAGGGAATGGAGGTTGGTACACAAATGAGCTGCACGTAGGAGAACATAGCTTACAACAACGGTTCAGTCCAACTTAGACAAAAAAAACTAGTTCCAAACATGTTATCGTGCTTCTGTATTCCTTATGGAGGTCAGTTCCGACTCCTCCTATCAAGAGCCCTTCAGGCATCAAGGAACCTCCCTTGAGGAACCCCATAAATATAATTTAAGCCTGTTGGTTTTCCTTTAGAGATTTAAAGCACTGAAGTTTCCAACAAGTGCCTTAAGAAAACTCACTAGGAGACACCAGGAGCTGTGATTCGACCCCTACAACCACAAATAGGTAAGTACAGAAAAAGGTTACCCTGAGACCTTGAACAGAAGTGATCACGGTCCCAGTACCAAAACGCAAACAACCCACACATACAAGAAAGAAACTTATGACCACGTTTTAGTCCGACCGAGACCAAAACACCGCCGTATAATACAGTTTTCTTTTCTGCAGTATCAAAACATGTGAAACTTCATTTTATATACTGCAAAAAAAAATAGTTTGTTTATTTGTGATATATTTTAAGTATGTGTCTTAGTTTAGAAATATATAAGAAAATATTAAATAGAAATGTACGTTATACCCATAGACCTGCATATTAAAATAATTTTTGTATATGCCCATAGTAATGCTTGAAACTGTGTAAATATATGACCCTCGGAGGAAGGCATCAGCTTATGCCCATTGAGATGTGCGAAAGATTTGTAAATTGAATGAACAAGGAAGAAATTATTTGCCTGAACAAGTGCTATTAAACCAAGTGCTGTGTAACCCATACTGGTTTAGTACTTGTCTTTGTATAATTACAGTGGAACCTCAAATATCGAACTTTCTTCAGTCCAGAAGACTGTCCAAGTGCTGTTACCGAATGAATTTATTCCTATCAGGAATAATGTAAATTAGGTTAGTCCATTTCAAACCCTCAAAAATACACTTATAAAAGCACTTACAAAAATACACTTACATAATTGGTTGAGTTGGGAGCTGTTCGATTTTTGAGGTTCCACTGTATGTAGAAATATGCACAAGTGTTCCTGGTTATGGCATAGGTACCTTCAGTGTGTATGGAATGCTTATCTACTTCCACAGCCCTGCCCTGGGCCAGGCTTGCCTGGTGCTTCTCTGGTCAACCAGGTTGTTGCTGGCCCTGGGCCAGGCTTGTCTAGTGTTTACCTGGTCAACCATGCTGTTACTGGCTCTGGGCCAGGCATGTCTGATGCTTGCCTGGTTAACCAGGTTGTTACTGCCCCTAGGCCAGGCTTGTCTGGTGCTTACCTAGGCAACCAGGCTACTGCTGGCCCTGGCCAGGCTTGTCTGGTCTTTGCCTGGTCAGCCAGGCTGTTCACACTGGCAGCCCACTGGCTCACATTCATCACAGCCTGGTTGATCCTTTCCAGGCCCCTTCAGGAAAGAGAAAGGGATTTCTTGATACTGATGAAAGTCTTCAAAAACTTGACATAATCCTCCGTGTACTGGTCACAGACCGGGGGCGTTGACCCCCGGAACTCTCTCCAGGTAAACTCCAGGTACTAAGATCACACCTGCCTACCTCCCATTCTCCAAACTTTGTGTGACCCATACTGGTATAATGCGTTCCATGCCCAAACCAGCAGTATTAAATCAGATTAATAATTAATTCCACATAAAAGGAATCTTTCATACACATACGCAAAGCACCAGTCGTACACGCCAGGTGTATATAGCACCTACAAACTTACCAGTGGAAATGGAACATTGCACAATGGTGAATTTGCATAAAACGAATACACACTTACACATACGTAATGTGTGTTTGTTGGGTTTTCAAGGCAGAGTCTGAAAGTTTTTCAAAAATTTTCTCTTTTCCATTGATGAGTATTTTTTTTTTTTTTTTTTTTTGGCAAATTAGCATGGCAGACATTTTAAACTCTCCTTCATTACTATATTAACAATCTCACCTAACACAAAATTAACATATTAGTTTTTTCCTGCCAGAAATTGAGTTAACATTGAACATTAATGAAATATATTAATTTTGAGATATTCAAATTGTTGGAGATATTGCAACAACAAATTTACACTCGTTACATTTGACAAAACATTGATTTATAGGCCTCAACCTCTGCTGTAAAATCACAAGAACATGCTATGTGGCACACCTACATTATTTTTTTTTTTTCAACAAGTCGGCCGTCTCCCGCCTTGTATATTAATTAAAATGGCAGAGTCAGTGAACAGAAATAACGATGGATTCATTGGGAGACAAATCGAAAATAGAAAACGACGTGTGCAGTTTAGGAGGTATTTACCGGAAACATTTTCGTTGCTTCTAGGTCCCACGAATGATACGTTTCCACTAACTTACAACCCGGACATAGGAAAATGAAACTTAGAACGACGTTTCAGCCTGACTTGGACCATTAAGTAGTTAATGGTCCGAGTTGGACCGAATTTAATCATAACTTTCATTTCCCCGTGTGTGGGTCATCTGTGTATTATTCCAGTTGTGGTATTGTGCCTTTGTATTTTTTCCATTAAATGTGTCCTAAAGTAACTGCATTTCATATTTTTATTGTAATGTTGGTGGAATTACTGACAATATGTTAGGTAAAAGGACGCAAGTGCAACTAATGCAACATTTTGCCGTGGCAACGTTTCGCTCTCCAGGATCTTTGTCAAGCCATTACCAGCTTGACAAAGCTCCTGGAGAGCAAAACATTGCCACAATAAAATATTCCATTATTGCATTTGTGTTCGTTTACCTAACATTATTACTTATTATTATTATCATATGCCTTAATATACCCAGAGTCAGGTTGTGTGGTTTCTAAGATCTCTGTAGAAAAACGACAGTAGGTGTTGTGCTCATAGAGGTCTTCCGTACAATTCACTGTTTACCTATAATTAGGAGAGGTAAATTTGGTTTGGTTTGTCCTAGAGCATTATCAAGTCACTCACGACTTTATCTACGAACTATTATGGACAGAAATGTTATTTTACGAGGCCCCTTCAAACTGTGGTTAGTTGTGGATTATTCCAGAAATGGTATTGTGGGTAAGTTGTGAATTTTCCAGCCAGGGTATTGTAGGTTAGTTGTGAATTGTTCCAGTCTGTTGTGAATTGTTTGTCAGATATTGTGAAGTTTGTGCAATGTTTAGGTTACGGATTGGTCAGCTAGTGGGTCCGGCCTATGTGAATTTTTGCAAGAATGTTTGTTGCTGTAATTGTCTTATACTGTATTGTGACTTTGTGGGAGTATTGTAGCCCGATTGCCAATTGTCAATTTAGTTGGGTTCTGCCCATTATCATTTTTATTGTGTCGTGTATGGTAAACGATTTTCTATTGTCAATAAATATTTGGTCCAGACTTTACATTGTTGTTATCGTCGGATATGACAAAATTTTGATTTTGTAAAGTAAAAGTTTGCCCAGTGGAGTTAGTAGTAAGTTCAACGTCAAGGTTAAATATCCAAGTAAATCCTAAGGTCATATACCAAGTGGGATAGTTTGCGAACCGCAAGTGAAATATCCCAAGTAGAAATCCTAGTCGAAATAATGTAAATAAAAATATTGTAATGTATAATATTGTAAAAAAAGTAAAAAATGAATCAGTTCTATCAATAAATTAATAATGAATGTACAATCGTATTGAAAAGTAAATTAAATGAAATTATCCTAAAAATCGTAAATCGAATGTGCGCTGTAGCACCGTCATTAAGTTGAAATATCATAAATCGAACCATCGTAAAATGAGGAGCATCTGTAGCCAGTAAAGTGGAGTCCAGCTAGTCAGTAATGTGGGGTCTCGCTGGTCAGAAAAGTGGAGTCCAGCTAGTCAGTAATGTGGGGTCTCGCTGGTCAGAAAAGTGGAGTCCAGCTAGTCAGTAATGTGGGGTCTCGCTGGTCAAAAAGTGGAGTCCAGCTAGTCGGTAAGGTAAGAGGTGGAGGAGGTGCGCGAGGAGCTGCCAAAGTAGAGGGAGGAAGGCGGATTAGGGTCGATCTGTTTGGTAGCTCTCTTCTTGTGCCAGAGGTAACTCCAGGCCATCAACATGACCAGTTGGGCAGCCAGAAAGAGGGCACATGCCACCACCACGCCCGTGAAGCTGGAACAGCTTCCCTCGGCCATTTCCATCTCAATGTCCTCCTGGCGGGCCGAGAAGTCAAACTTTGTCCGTGATGTGGACGGACTTGGCCACCATGATGCCAGTCTCATGAACCTGTAAGAACAAGGCATTATTTAGAAGATGAATTTGCATTAACATGAGGAGAATTAATAATCCAATGTGGCCTAAGAAAGACAGACAATGTGACTTACTTCCACTGGGATTATTAGATTCTTACACAGCATGTGGTACCTTTGTAGCACCGGCACATACCACCCATCTTTGTAACACCACACACACCACCCATCTTTGTAACACCACACACACCACCCATCTTTGTAGCACCACACACACCACCCATATTTGTAGCACCACACACACCACCCATCTTTGTAGCACCACACACACCACCCATCTTTGTAGCACCACACACACCACCCATCTTTGTAGCACCACACACACCCACCTCTTTGTAGCACCACACACACCACCCATCTTTGTAAACCCACACACACCACCCATCTTTGTAGCACCACACACACCACCCATCTTTGTAGCACACACACACACCACCCATCTTTGTAGCACCACACACACCACCCATCTTTGTAGCACCACACACACCACCCATCTTTGTAGCACCACACACACCACCCATCTTTGTAGCACCACACACACCACCCATCTTTGTAGCACCACACATACCACCCATCTTTGTAGCACCACACACACCACCCATCTTTGTAACACCACACACACACCACCCATCTTTGTAACACCACACACACCACCCATCTTTGTAGCACCACACACACCACCCATCTTTGTAGCACCACACACACCACCCATCTTTGTAGCACCACACACACCACCTATCTTTGTAGCACCACACACACCACCCATCTTTGTAGCACCACACACACCACCCATCTTTGTAGCACCACACACACACCCATCTTTGTAGCACCACACATACCACCCACCTTTGTAGCACCACACACACCACCCATCTTTGTAGCACCACACACACCACCCATCTTTGTAGCACCACACACACCACCCATCTTTGTAGCACCACACACACCACCCATCTTTGTAGCACCACACATACCACCCACCTTTGCAATGCCACCATCCACCTCTTCACTCCCCCCCCCCCTACACACACACAGGAGAGTGTTGTAGTGGAGGCAGGATCCATACATAGCTTTAAGAAGAGGTACAATAAGGCTCATGGAGCAGGGAAGAATGTGAACCTAGTAGCGACCAGTGAAGAGGGGGGGGCAAGGAGTTGTGACTCAACCCCTGCAGCCACACATAGGCAAGTGTATGCTCTCTCACACTTATGCACTCACACACTTTCTACCACTACCACCACTTACCTCACGTTTTCTCCTGCGTCCAAAGATTCCTCCCGGCGTAAGATGCCATCGAAGCCTGCAATATCACACTGGACAGGTTCACAACGAGGCAGACAGGGTGTGACCAGTGCTCGGAACTGCACCACTTCGGATGCGGGGAACTTGAAGGCTTGGAAAGGTGCATGGAGCACGGCGCCAGACCCGACCTGTAGAGTGCATGCACTACTTAAAATTTTACTTCTGGCACTTCAAGAGGAAACTGGACAAGTATCTTCACCAGGTGCCAGATCAGCCAAGCTGTGATGGATATGTTGGGTCAGTGGGCCACAAACAGAAACAGCCTGGTTGACCAGGCTAGCACCAGACAAGCCTAGCCCATGACCGGGCTCTGGGAGTAGAAAAACTCTCGGAACTCATCAAAGATATATCAGAGTGGGGTACCTTCATGCTGGCATGGGAATTTTAATTCAAGGAACTGCACTATTCTTTCCTTCCTTGATTAAACCTGTTTACCTCACATTCCCCAGGTATGGTATGACCCTTACTGCTTTAGTGCTTTCCCATGAATGTATTCATAATAGTATTGGTAGGACAGGCTTCATTATGATCATAATAATAATTGGTAGGGCTAATTACCTTGACAACAGCCAGATAATAATAATAAGTAATTATAATTAATACAGTGGACCCCCGGTTAACGATATTTTTTCATTCCAGATGTATGTTCAGGTGCCAGTACTGACCGAATTTGTTCCCATAAGAAATATTGTGAAGTAGATTAGTCCATTTCAGACCCCCAAACATACACGTATAAACGCACTTACATAAATACACTTACATAATTGGTCGCATTGGGAGGTGATCGTTATGCGGGGGTCCACTGTACTAACATCGGGTCACCCTGCCTTGGTGGGAATCGGCCAGTGTGTTAATAATAATAATCAGTGGGATTGGCTACCCTGACAACAGCCAGATTAAAAAATATATTAAAAAAGTAACAACAGACAAGGCAACAATATATGTTGCAGACAGCAACATGCTTATACAGTGGACCCCCGCATAACGATTACCTCCAAATGCGACCAATTATGTTAGTGTATTTATGTAAGTGCGTTTGTACGTGTATGTTTGGGGGTCTGAAATGGACTAATCTACTTCACAGTACAGTGGACCCCCGGTTAACGATATTTTTTCACTCCAGAAGTATGTTCAGGTGCCAGTACTGACCGAATTTGTTCCCATAAGGAATATTGTGAAGTAGATTAGTCCATTTCAGACCCCCAAACATACACGTACAAACGCACTTACATAAATACTCTTACATAATTGGTAGCATTCGGAGGTGATCGTTATGCGGGGGTCCACTGTATTCCTTATGGGAATAAATTCGGTCAGTACTGGCACCTGAACATACTTATGGAGTGAAAAAATATCGTTAACCGGGGGTCCACTGTACTAACATCGGGTCACCCTGCCTTGGTGGGAATCGGCCAGTGTGTTAATAATAATAATCAGTGGGATTGGCTTCCCTGACAACAGCCAGATTAAAAAATATATTAAAAAAGTAACAACAGACAAGGCAACAATATATGTTGCAGACAGCAACATGCTTATATTTAGAGGTGTTTTCGAGTCAGATTCTAAACTGGCATCCAGTACCTACATTAGATTTGCTTGTGTAGCGCTTGCTGAATTACTTTCTGTGTAGAAACTTCTTCACTACTTTTGGTAACTTACCACCTATTTCATATACTTGCAACATCTGCCAGGAGCAATGAATCGACCCCTGCAACAACAGTTAGGCGAGTACATTACTCCCCTATTTACTCTATCGTATGCCTTTTCTAAATCCACAAATGCAACAGAGTTCCCTGTGATTAGGTATTGTTCATTTACATGTTTCATTGCAAACACTTGGTCTACACATCCCCTGTCCTGTATTGTTCGTTGATATCCTTCATTGCAAACACTTGGTCTACACATCCTCTGTCTGTCCTGTATTGTTCGTTGATATCCTTCATTGCAAACACTTGGTCTACACATCCTCTGTCTGTCCTGTATTGTTCGTTGATATCCTTCATTGCAAACACTTGGTCTACACATCCTCTATCTGTCCTGTATTGTTCGTTGATATCCTTCATTGCAAACACTTGGTCTACACATCCCCTGTCCTTCCTAAAATAAGTTTGTTCAGCTGCGATCCTGCTTTCTGTCTTAGCCTCATCTCTTTCAAAAATAATTCTACCATATGCTTTATCCAGTATACTCAGTAGGCTTATTCCTCTATAGTTCTTGCACTCTTTTGTCCCCTTTTCCCCTTATGCAAACTATACGTACTCTCTGCCAATTCCTACGCACTCTGAACATCAAAATGGTATACAATACCGACAGGTTGTTAGGTAAGACACATATGCAACAGTTAGGCAACTTTATTCCGAGAATAAAGTTGCCTAACTGTTGCATATGTGTCTTACCTAACATCCTACGTACTCTAGTCTTTCATGGAAATAGGCAAATCGCTCCAGAATCATATCCCAATCTGTGTTTAAGATCTTTTAAGTAGTAATAGTACCAGAAGGAATAGTTACCTTGATGATGGCTTGCATGATAGTACTGTATTAGAAGGACTGGTATTATGCCTTGATGACAGTCTGCAGGATAGTACCAAAAGGACTACTACATGATAGTACCAGAAGGAATAGTTACCTTGACAACAGCTTGCATGATAGTAGGGTCGGTAGGACATCCCCGCTCATCAATAAGAAGGATCTCAGAGGTGTCTTGACCATCCATGGCCACCAGTTCCCTCATGAAGATTTCATATGGACTCTTTTCGTCGGTTATCTCAAAGCGCAGGGCCAGGTTGTCACCCACCTGGGAATGAATTTACAAATTGTAATAATCTATATTTCTGCAAGTACATGATACACCTTATACAGACCATAGCTAACATCAGTGACATACTATATAGAAAGCCCCTTGATATGCAGAGCATTGCAGGCAACCTAGGTTAATTTTGTCAGCCACGATATGACCCGCACCAGTCAAGTAACACCCAGGTACCTATTTACTGCTAGGTGAACAGAGACAGCAGGTGTCTTAAGGAAACACACCCCAATGTTTCCACCCATACCAGGGATCGAACCACAGACCTCAGTGTGTGAGTGAATGTGCTACCAACCCAGCTACAGGACTCCTTGATTCAGAAACATGGATAACTTGTCAGAAACAAGTAAGCCAGGCTTGAAATTGGGAAGAATCTGCCTCACACTTAATAATCTATGTCTAAATCTAGAATAACATTTTAGCATTAGGATTAGTTTGCCCGAAATGCAATGGAACTGACTGCGAGTACTGGAAAAATTATTTTAATGAAATTATCGTAATTTGAACGTGAATACGTATATGATAAATAAATAAATAAGTACAGTGGACACCCGGTTAACGATATTTTTTCATTCCAGAAGTATGTTCAGGTGCCAGTACTGACCGAATTTGTTCCCATAAGAAATATTGTGAAGTAGATTAGTCCATTTCAGACCCCCAAACATACACGTACAAACGCACTTACATAAATACACTTACATAATTGGTCGCATTCACAGGTAATCGTTATGCGGGGGTCCACTGTACTGTCACTGAATATAAACCAATACCGTAACTAAATACCAGTAAATAAATGATTGCAAGTTTATACTATCAATAAATGTTCAGTACTGAAGGTGCATCACTATCGCACCATCATAAAATTAAAACATATAAAGCAAAGAGCAATTCTCTCTCATTCCAATGATTCTCTACACCTCTTATGAGTTTAGAGATTTACTCACCTGGGCTGAAATGATGTCGTTACCCTTGACGTCAGTGACCCGCATCACCACATTGGGAGACTCCACGATCGTCTCCTCGAAGAACTCGTCTGTGTCGACGGCGCCCTTGACCTCCAGGCCAGACAGGAGGGAGTTGGTCACCGTCTGGTTCTCAAGGTTGTACTTGCAGTGGAGGGCAAGACCCAGGTCGGCCGAGGTCACGATCATGTCATGGTGCTGTGGGGGCAGAGATGACCTCAATATACATTGTTGTAGTTCTGTACTTTAGGTATATAAAATACACACAAGTGGGATAAAGCCGTGATGACATACCCAGGGTCACTAACTCAGAATCACTAACCCAGAGTCACTAACCCAGGGTCATTAAACCAGCATCACAAACCCAGCATCACAAACCCAGCATCACAAACCCAGCATCACAAACCCAAATGCAGCATCACAAATTGAGTATCACAAGCTGTAATAATAATAATGTGTATTTAGCCCGGGTATATTAATGACTTAAAATGGCTAACTAAAACAAGTGTTAGCGTTGTTGCTAACTTGTATATGAAGTGCTGTATGACCCTTGTGGGTTTAGCGCTTAGTTGTGATTATAATAATAATGACCTGTATAACAATGTTGGAAGAGAAGGTGCCAGGGCCATCCTGCATGACATCACAGTTGACATCGTTGTAAGAGAGCAGGAAGTCGAAGTCAGTGGCACTTTTGACATCGACAACACAGGAGTTGGGGCGGTCCTTGGCATAGACCTTACCATCGAAGAGTGTCGACGTAGATATACGTGCCAGCATCTCCGCCCCGCGGCACTCCACCGTCACCTGTAACAACAGTTCAGTGAGCGCCGTAGTGGAGGCAGCATCCATACATAGCTTTAAGATAAGGTACAATGAGGCTCTTGCAGCAGGGAGGGAGTGGACCTAGTAGCGATCGGTGAAGAGCAGGGGCCAGGAGCTATGAAGCAACCCCTACAATCAGAAATGAGTACACACACACAGTATGTGGTACACACAAGTAACACACACACACATGCACATACTAACACACACAGATGCACACACACAAATACACACACACACATGCATATACAACAGGCCTAGTGTATAATCGACATGTGCCTAGGACAAAAGGGTAACTAATATAGTGTACCACTGTATAGTGTACCACTGTATAGTGTACCACTGACAAGATTTGCATACCTGGTAGCAGGACTGCCTCTCGTGTGTAGTTGCATTATCAATCTCCAGGTAAGGCTCCTGAATGTGAGCCAGGGTCGCTGTAGAGTGGTGGGAGAGCCTACATATTTTCTCTCCGGCCGACATGAAATCATAGGAATAGCAGGTGAAGTTAGCACTCATGCACCTGTGGGAAAGGAAGATTTTTAACCATGATAATTAGGTTTGGTGGTCCCGATGACTATTCTAGGGGGGTAGTTGGTCCCATGACTATTCTAGGGGGGGGAGGGGTAGTTGGTCCCAAGATCTTCAAAAGAAATAATAACAATAATTCAAGATTGATACACAGCCAATAAGACAGCAGGAACAGCCACAGTCACTGCTAGACAGCAGGAACAACCACAGTCACTGCTAGACAGCAGGAACAGCCACAGTCACTGCTAGACAGCAGGAACAGCCACAGTCACTGCTAGACAGCAGGAACAGCCACAGTCATTGCTAGACAGCAGGAACAACCACAGTCTCTGCTAGACAGCAGGAACAGCCACAGTCACTGCTAGACAGCAGGAACAACGACAGTCACTGCTAGACAGCAGGAACAACGACAGTCACTGCTAGACAGCAGGAACAGCCACAGTCACTGCTAGACAGCAGGAACAACCACAGTCACTGCTAGACAGCAGGAACAACCACAGTCACTGCTAGACAGCAGGAACAGCCACAGTCACTGCTAGACAGCAGGAAAAGCCACAGTCACTGCTAAACAGCAGGAATAGCCACAGTCACTGCTAGACAGCAGGAACAGCCACAGTCACTGCTAGACAGCAGGAACAGCCACAGTCATTGCTAGACAGCAGGAACAGCCTCAGTCACTGCTAGACAGCAGGAACAGCCACAGTCACTGCTAGACAGCCAGGAAGATAGGAACAGCCAGTCACTGCTAGACAGCAGGAACAGTACAGTCACTGCTAGACAGTAGGAACAGCCACAGTCACTGCTAGACAGCAGGAACAGCTACAGTCACTGCTAGACAGCAGGAACAACCACAGTCACTGCTAGACAGCAGGAACAGCCACAGTCACTGCTAGACAGCCAGGAAGATAGGAACAGCCACAGTCACTGCTAGACAGCAGGAACAGCCACAGTCACTGCTAGACAGCAGGAACAGCCACAGTCACTGCTAGACAGCCAGGAAGATATCAGGAACAGCCACACTGCTAGACAGCAGGAACAGCCACAGTCACTGCTAGACAGCAGGAACAGCCACAGTCACTGCTAGACAGCAGGAACAACCACAGTCACTGCTAGACAGCAGAAACAGTCACAGTCACTGCTAGACAGCAGGAACAGCCACAGTCACTGCTAGACAGCAGGAACAGCCACAGTCCCTGCTAGACAGCAGGAACAACCACAGTCACTGCTAGACAGCAGGAACAACCACAGTCATTGCTAGACAGCAGGAACAACCACAGTCACTGCTAGACAGCAGGAACAACCACAGTCACTGCTAGACAGCAGGAACAACCACAGTCACTGCTAGACAGCAGGAACAGCCACAGTCACTGCTAGACAGCAGGAACAGCCACAGTCACTGCTAGACAGCAGGAACAACCACAGTCACTGCTAGACAGCAGGAACAACCACAGTCACTGCTAGACAGCAGGAACAGCCACAGTCACTGCTAGACAGCAGGAACAACCACAGTCACTGCTAGACAGCAGGAACAACCACAGTCACTGCTAGACAGCAGGAACAACCACAGTCACTGCTAGACAGCAGGAACAGCCACAGTCACTGCTAGACAGCAGGAACACCACAGTCACTGCTAGACAGCAGGAACAACCACAGTCACTGCTAGACAGCAGGAACAACCACAGTCACTGCTAGACAGCAGGAACAGCCACAGTCACTGCTAGACAGCAGGAACAACCACAGTCACTGCTAGACAGCAGGAACAACCACAGTCACTGCTAGACAGCAGGAACAGCCACAATCACTGCTAGACAGCAGGAACAGCCACAGTCACTGCTAGACAGCAGGAACAACCACAGTCACTGCTAGACAGCAGGAACAACCACAGTCACTGCTAGACAGCAGGAACAACGACAGTCACTGCTAGACAGCAGGAACAGCCACAGTCACTGCTAGACAGCAGGAACAGCCACAGTCACTGCTAGACAGCAGGAACAGCCACAGTCACTGCTAGACAGCAGGAACAACCACAGTCACTGCTAGACAGCAGGAACAACCACAGTCACTGCTAGACAGCAGGAACAACACAGTCACTGCTAGACAGCAGGAACAGCCACAGTCACTGCTAGACAGCAGGAACAGCCACAGTCACTGCTAGACAGCAGGAACAGCCACAGTCACTGCTAGACAGCAGGAACAGCCACAGTCACTGCTAGACAGCAGGAACAGCCACAGTCACTGCTAGACAGCAGTAACAACCACAGTCACTGCTAGACAGCAGGAACAGCCACAGTCACTGCTAGACAGCAGGAACAGCCAGTCACTGCTAGACAGCAGGAACAGCCACAGTCACTGCTAGACAGCCAAGAAAGACAGCAGGCCTCACCTCTCCTTACACTCAGCATCACTGGCCACATCTTGGTACACAGCATCCACCGTCTTCAGGATGCGGTGCCGCAGCGTCTGAAACTCGCAGAGTTTCTGCGGCTTAGGGACGCATGCGACCTCCACATAGTCACTCTTCTCATCTAACTCCAACAGCCGCTTGCGACCAGCCATGTTGCGGTCGACGCTGGCAAGAGTGCAGATTTTGGTCACTGGATTGTACGCTGCGGCCCTGCGGGAGGAAGTGTAAGTGAATGATAGAATTTACGCATTTACACAGCGTGATTTACAGGCTGGTAGCCTACTTATCTAGCAGATAGACTTGAAACCCACCCACCCACCCTCACACAACACACACACACACACACACACACACACACACACACAAACCACACACACACCACCACACACACAACACACACACACACACACACACAGATAGTCTTGAAACCCAGGCACTCACCTACAGATAATCTTGAAACCCCGGCACTCACCTAAAGATAGTCTTGAAACCCAGGTACTCACCTACAGATAGTCTTGAAACCCAGGCACTCAAATACAAATAGTCTTGAAACCCAGGCACTCACCTAAGGATAGCCTTGAAACCCAGGACCTCACCTACAGATAGTCTTGAAACCCAGGACCTCACCTACAGATAGACTTCAAACCCAGACACTCACCTACAGATAGACTTCAAACCCAGACACTCACCTACAAATGAACTGATCTTGTGTCACACAGCTCAGTACACATTCCTTCCTGGAGGGGACGCTGCTGGAGTGTACGCGGAACTGGTCTGTAATTGCTAGACCAGGAACGGTCTCGTAGGCCCAGGGAGAGGCGCAGACCGGGTACCCAGAGCGCAGACACACTTTCTGCGCGTACAGTGTAAATACTGGGAACTGCGACACTGCCAGGGATGCTGGAATAAGAGGAAGAATTAATTATGTATATATAGCGTACAGAGTAATAGGGATGTTAGGAAGTATTTCTTCAGCTTTAGAGTTGTCAGGGTGTAGTGGAGGCAGGATCCATACGTAGCTTTAAGAAGAGGTATGATAAGGCTCTGGGAGCAGGGAGAGAGTGGACCTAGTAGCGACCAGCAAAGAAGTGGGACCAGGAGCTGTTCCAGGCAGAGTATTGACCTTAAACCTCATCCACTTCTTTGTTCAGTCAGACTGTTATTGTTGTCCCCAAGATTCACTGATGCTTGTGTGTGTGTGTACTGACCTAATTGTGGTTGCAGGGATCGAGTCTCAGTTCCTGCCCCCGGGGCAGGTGTGTGCGAGTGTGGCAGAGTCTAGCCTGGTGACCTACAACAGGTCATTACAAACCCCCAAAAAACTTGCTTGACCTGACTGTACCTCTTCTATCTTCCTGTTCCTCTCACCCCTCTCATCCGTCCCTACACAACCCTCTCATCCGTCCCTACACAACCCTCTCATCCGTCCCTACACAACCCTCTCAGTAGTCCCATTATACCAGGAGGTTCGGTTAAAGGCGTACACCTTAAGGTAGGAAGTCGCTTCTCTGAACTTCGGAGAAATATTCCTGAATGTCCAGTAGGGACAGAGGTACTTTGAAGGGGTCAAGTCATAGCTCCTGGCCCTGCCTCTTCGCTGGTCGCTTCTAGGTCCACTCTCTCCCGTCTCCATGAGCTTTATCATACCTCTTCTTAAAGCTATGTATGGATCCTGCCTCCACTACATTACTCTCCAGACTATTCCACTTCCTGACAACTCTATGACTGAAGAAATACTTCCTAACATCCCTGTGACTCATCTGAGTCTTCAACTTCCAACTGTGACCCCTTGTTGCTAAGTCCCCTTGTGTCCCCTTGTTGCTGTGTCCCCTTGTGTCCCCTTGTTGCTGTGTCACATCCTGGAACATTCTCTCCCTATTCACCTTATCAATTCCTCTCATTATTTTATATATCGTAATCATATCCTCCCTATCCCTCCTGTCCTCCAGTGTGGTCGGGTCGAGTTCCCTTAACCTCTCCTTGTAGGATATGCCCCTTTGCTCTCTTAACCTCTCCTCGTAGGACATTCCCCTTAGCTCCCTTAACTTCTCCTCGTAAGACATACCTCTTAGCTCCGGCACTAGTCTTGTTGCAAACCTTTGCACTTTCTCTAATTTCTTGACGTGCTTGACCAGGTGTGTGTGCGCGCGCGCATGAGTAAAGTATCCTCGTGCCTACATGAGTTAGGACACATGAATGTATCCTCTGAGTTCACTCACCCGCCTCACCCACTCTACCACTCTGAATGGTGTGGAGTGGGTGATGAGTCATTCTTGATCAAAGGAACTGAAGCCACTCCCCCTCCCCTTCCTCATATCAAATAATTACCTTCAGTTCCACAAACGTTTTGTTCCACTACGGAATTAACACTTAATTGGATACGCTGAATGCTGAAGACAGATTAAAACAACTGAAGCTAAATCAAGTTTATGAAACTACTCACAGTGTTCAGAATATCTTGCTGCCAACTGTGTGAAGACGGAACCAAAGCTATCACAGTAGGAAAGAGAGCACAACTTTGTAGTGCCCACAGTCAGTGGCCAGGCTTCAAGCACAACTTTGTAGTGCCCACAGTCAGTGGCCAGGCTTCAAACACAACTTTGTAGTAGCTACAGTCAGTGGCCAGGCTTCAAACACAACTTTGTAGTAGCTACAGTCAGTGGCCAGGCTTCAAGCACAACTTTGTAGTACCCACAGTCAGTAGCCAGGCTTCAAACACAACTTTGTAGTAGCTACAGTCAGTAGCCAGGCTTCAAACACAACTTTGTAGTAGCCACAGTCAGTAGCCAGGCTTCAAACACAACTTTGTAGTACCCACAGTCAGTAGCCAGGCTTCAAACACAACTTTGTAGTAGCTACAGTCAGTGGCCAGGCTTCAAACACAACTTTGTAGTACCCACAGTCAGTGGCCAGGCTTCAAGCACAACTTTGTAGTACCCACAGTCAGTGGCCAGGCTTCAAGCACAACTTTGTAGTACCCACAGTCAGTGGCCAGGCTTCAAACACAACTTTGTAGTAGCTACAGTCAGTGGCCAGGCTTCAAGCACAACATTGTAGTACCCACAGTCAGTAGCCAGGCTTCAAGCACAACTTTGTAGTAGCCACAGTCAGTGGCCAGGCTTCAAGCACAACTTTGTAGTAGCTACAGTCAGTGGCCAGGCTTCAACACAACATTTGTAGTAGCTACAGTCAGTGCCAGGCTTCAAGCACAACTTTGTAGTACCCACAGTCAGTGGCCAGGCTTCAAGCACAACTTTGTAGTAGCTACAGTCAGTGGCCAGGCTTCAAGCACAACTTTGTAGTAGCTACAGTCAGTGGCCAGGCTTCAAGCACAACTTTGTAGTAGCCACAGTCAGTGCCAGGCTTCAAACACAACTTTGTAGTAGCTACAGTCAGTGCCAGCTTCACACAACTTTTAGTGCACATCATGGCAGGCTTCAAGCACAACTTTGTAGTACCACAGTCAGTGGCCAGACTTCAAGCACAACTTTGTAGTACCCACAGTCAGTAGCCAGGCTTCAAACACAACTTTGTAGTAGCTACAGTCAGTGGCCAGGCTTCAAGCACAACTTTGTAGTAGCTACAGTCAGTGGCCAGGCTTCAAGCACAACTTTGTAGTACCCACAGTCAGTGGCCAGACTTCAAGCACAACTTTGTAGTACCCACAGTCAGTAGCCAGGCTTCAAGCACAACTTTGTAGTACCCACAGTCAGTGGCCAGACTTCAAGCACAACTTTGTAGTACCCACAGTCAGTGGCCAGGCTTCAAACACAACTTTGTAGTAGCTACAGTCAGTGGCCAGGCTTCAAGCACAACTTTGTAGTAGCTACAGTCAGTGGCCAGGCTTCAAGCACAACTTTGTAGTACCCACAGTCAGTGGCCAGACTTCAAGCACAACTTTGTAGTACCCACAGTCAGTGGCCAGGCTTCAAGCACAACTTTGTAGTACCCACAGTCAGTGGCCAGACTTCAAGCACAACTTTGCAGTAGCTACAGTCAATAGCCAGACTTCAAGCACAACTTTGTAGTAGCCTACAGTCAGTAGCCAGCTTCAAGCACAACTTTGTAGTAGCTACAGTCAGTAGCCAGACTTCAAGCACAACTTTGTAGTAGCTACAGTCAATAGCCAGACTTCAAGCACAACTTTGTAGTAGCTACAGTCAGTAGCCAGACTTCAAGCACAACTTTGTAGTAGCTACAGT